GTTGCAGGTGGCCGTGGTGAAGTCGGAGGGTGCGGGAGCACAGCTGGCGTCCCCTGGCGGGCAGCCCTCCCCAGCGAGTGCTGCCGCACAAGTGGTCACCCTCCATGTGGCAGAGCCGGGGGGTGGGGTGGCAGCCGAGAGCCAGCTAGGCCCCTCTGACCTACAGCGGATCACCCTGGCACCCAGTCCATTTGGCGGGGCTGGATACAGCGTCATCACAGCGCCCCCTATGGAGGAGGGGACATCAGCTCCGGGCACACCCTACAGGTAAGATCTGCCACCTGCAAGGCCCCATTCACCCAGCTGTAAGCACACTGGGGGTAGTCGGAGAAGACCCTGCCCATCCAAGCCTAGTGGGCAGGGGGCGAAGATCCTAATACACATACGGTGATTGGGCCATGGGGGAGTCAGATCCTTCTGAGGAGGTCAGAAGCTGCTGTGTTTTGGCCACTGAGATGTACCAGGCACCAGACATGTGTGAACTCACCTAAACCATTCCCATGAAATCCATGTTTTTTTCCTTTTACAAATGAGGAAACAGGCCAGTAAGGTTAAAGGACTCCCCGAAGGTCATACAGTGGGCGAGAATTTTAGCCCTGCTCCCTTTCGGTCCAAAGCCCATGTGCTCTTCGTTTTGGACAATTCCTGAGGGGTTCCCCAGTTCTGAACTCTGGAACCAACTCGGGCTCCTTGCTGAACTGAAAGGGGGCCTGGCATCCTCTCAGCTTCCTCCACACTGAGCGAGTGTGGGGCAGAACTGTTTGTATTTCATATGTTGACCAAACCCCCGGGCAGTCTGAGGAAGCCTTGAATTCAAGTACCAAAGTGAGAGGCCGGGATGGGAGTCGGGATCACTGGGCCGACGCCTGGGCAGCCCCGCCTCAGCACCTGCTCTCTACGCTTGGGGCTGCGCGTTCCTGTCAGCCCTGCCTCCCCCACTTGACCAGACTGGGCTGGGCCCCTCATGCCCCCCAGCCTTCCCCTCCCCACCATGCGGATGAAGGGGGCGGGATTAGCACTCGAGAGCAGGACAGCACTCTGGACACAGCGCTGTTGACAGAAGACAGAGCAGAGGTTCAGCTGATGAAGGGCAGGGCCAGGGTGTAATGCAGGGGCTCACCTGCGGTGCGCCCCCTCAGCCGATGACTTCCTGGGGAAGGGGCCAGCTGTGGCCCTCCAGGCCCTCTTAGAGCCCTGATTCGCTGCTCCCCTCCTCTGCCCACAGTGAGGAGCCCCCAGGGGAGGCAGCCCAGACCGTGGTTGTGAGCGACACCCTGAAAGAAGCTGGCACCCACTACATCATGGCAGCCGACGGGACCCAGCTGCACCACATCGAGGTGAGGCTGGGGAGCCCACCCTGCCCCATTTCCCACGCCCTCCCGCCCGCCGCGCTCAGCGCCTCGTGCTCCCTTCTGTCCGCAGCTGACCGCAGATGGCTCCATCTCCTTCCCGAGTCCCGACGCCCTGGCCTCCGGAGCCAAGTGGCCGCTGCTGCCCTGTGGGGGGCCGCCCAGAGACGGCCCTGAGCCCCCATCTCCAGTCAGAACCCGCCCAGTCGGGGACCGCCAGGGCTCTGCCTCCCCACCTCCTACAACCAGCAAAGCCCTGGGCCTGGGAGTGCCCCCCTCACCGCCATCTGCAGCCACCCCATCGTCAAAGAAGTTTTCCTGCAAGATCTGTGCCGAGGCCTTCTTTGGCCGAGCTGAGATGGAAAGTCACAAACGGGCCCACGCCGGGCCGAGTGCCTTCAAGTGCCCCGACTGCCCCTTCAGCGCCCGCCAGTGGCCCGAGGTCCGGGTGAGTGCTGACCCCTGCGCCTCCGCTGGCACTGGCTTGTGAGACAAACCCTGGCTGAGCACCCGCTTGCGCCAGCCCTGTTTCCCTCTAGTCAGAGATCATTCAGCGGGGCGCTCAGGTGGCCCAGTGTCGGGGGAGGGTGACCAGGCCGTGTCCGATCCCCGACAGTGTCCCCAGAGTGAACAGTGCGCATGGGGAACAAGTCACATGGACCTGGGGTACAGGGGGTGTCACAGGTGGTGTGATGGCCCACTTACGGCATCGAGTCCTTCAGAGTACAGAGAGGCGCAGAGTTCAAGGAAGGTTCTAGGGCAGGATCATGGTCCAGTGTGAGGGGCCCCCTCCCTTTACCTGAGGATTTCCAGAACCAACCATACACTGGCTCTCCGCAGCTCAAAGAGAGGGGCTGGGCCCAGGACCCTAGAACGGCAGGGCTGGGAGAGACCCTCAGAGGTCCCTCCCTCCGAGTGCGTACGGCTCAGGGGTAAACTGAGTCTGAGAGCAGGGACAGGATTTTCCGAAGGACCTAATGAAGAGCCTATGGCTTTTTCCCCTGAAGCACACAGCACCGAATCTTGGTCTGGTGTGTGCTCTCTACCCAGCTCCTCCCCGAGCCGCTTCAGCGGGCAGGCTCCCCAGCAGCTCTGTCCGGGTGCAACTAACGGCCCGGCTCTGTCCCTTCCGCAGGCCCACATGGTGCAGCACTCCAGCCTGCGGCCCCACCAGTGCAGCCAGTGCAGCTTTGCCTCCAAGAACAAGAAGGACCTGCGGCGGCACGTGCTGACCCACACCAACGAGAAGCCTTTTTCGTGCCACCTCTGCGGGCAGCGGTGAGGCTGGGTCCCGCTGGGGCTGCTGGGCGTGCAGGGTAGGGCTGCCCCTGAGCCTTCGTCCCTTCCCCACAGTTTCAACCGCAACGGGCACCTCAAGTTCCACATCCAGCGGCTACACAGTCCTGACGGGAGAAAGGCGGGGCCCCCTACTGCCCGGGCCCCAGCCCAGCCCCCCACCCAGACCATCATCCTGAACAGTGATGACGAGACTCTGGCCACACTGCACAGTGAGCTGCCCCGGGACCCAGGGTAGAGCAGGGGCTTGAGCTACTGCCCCAGAGAACGCCCTTGGGCTCTGGCGAGGCCCCTAGTGAGCACCCTCCCCTCTCCGCCCAGCCGCGCTGCAGTCCAGTCATGGGGTCCTGGGCCCAGAACAGCTGCAGCAGGCCCTGGGCCAGGAACACATCATCGTGGCGCAGGAACAGGCAGTGACCGATCAGGTAAGAGCCTGCGCAGGGGCCCTGCGGGCAGGGTTGGGGTGCGCAGAGAGCTGAAGCTAGCCCTGGCTTGGCTGCGGCAGGAGGAAGCCACCTACATCCAAGAGATCACCACAGCAGATGGCCAGACGGTGCAGCATCTGGTGACCTCCGACAACCAGGTGAGCTGCTGCCAAACACCTCAGCGTGAGTGCCCAGGTCCCGGGCCCTACTCTGGGGACAAGCGATACTTCCCTAACCACCTCTCCCAGGGTATGTAGGGTATGTGCTCGCAGCTGCCAATGGGGTCCCGTCCCCCTGCTGAGCTCCCAGTGAGCAGGGCCCAGCGCCTGCCTCCTCGCCACCCTCTTCCAGGTGCAGTACATCATCTCTCAGGACGGAGTTCAGCACCTCCTCCCCCAGGAATATGTCGTGGTCCCAGAAGGTCATCACATCCAGGTAGGCCAGGCCTGGGGTGAGGGTGGGACATGACTGGAGGGATGCACGGCCTCCTTCTGCAACCACCAGGTTGGCTTCCTCTCTCCAGGTACAGGAGGGTCAGATCACACACATCCAGTACGAACAAGGGGCCCCGTTCCTCCAGGAGTCCCAGGTAGGGTCCTTGGGGAACCTCATGGAGCTGGGGCACGGGCAGGATTCTGCCAAGGTGGCTCACTGGCTTCTCTCCTCCAGATCCAGTATGTACCTGTGTCCCCAGGCCAGCAGCTCGTCACTCAGGCCCAGCTTGAAGCTGCAGCACACTCAGCTGTCACAGGTACAGTGCTGGCACTGGGGACCCTGGGGCCTGGGGCCCAGGCCTAGCCCCTGGGGCCTCAGGCTCACCGTCCTTTCCCCTCCTCTGGCAGCAGTGGCCGATGCTGCCATGGCCCAAGCCCAGGGCCTGTTTGGCACAGAGGAGACGGTGCCTGACCACATCCAGCAGCTGCAACACCAGGGCATCGAGTACGACGTCATCACCCTGACTGATGACTGAGCCCCAAGGGCACAACGCTGACCATGGATATTGGGGCCGGCCCTGCTGGGGTGGGGGGACCACCAGTTCGCATGTCCTTGCTCCACCTAGGGTCTGCAGATACTGGGCAGCCAGCACCGTCACTCCAAAGGAGTCAGACCTGTGCTATTGGGGTGGGGGGACAGCCACGGGCACCAGCCAGGACATGCTGGGGGCCCCAGCCTGCAGGCAGGCTTCGGGAGAGAAATTTATTTTTGTTCTGATGGATCCACTGGTCTCTCAGTCTCAATAAAGGGACCAGAGTCCAGCCCTGGCCAGCCCAGTTTGTCCACTTGTTGCCACAGCGTGAAACAGGTGAGACTTGGGGAACGGAAGGAAAGTTAGAGCCTGTTACAGCCCCAAGTGGCGAGTGAGGTACAGGTGGCCTGGCCCGCAGTGCATCCAGCCTCACCTCTGTAAGTACAGTGGCCCGAAAGTGCAGCTGGCCCTTGGGACAGAGGCCTGACATAGCCTCCAAGAGCCCCCGGCTCCTGCCCCAGGCCCCAGGGGAGCATATGCTGCAGGCACAGAGGTCCCCAAAGGGCAGCGCAGCCAGGTGCCCGCTTGCATGGGGCCGTGCTGAGGCTGTGGTGAGGCCTGCAATGGCTCTGAGCTACGTTCCCTCCTGATCCATGACTGTCAAACCCCTGGCTGCCCGCTCACTGTGCTGGTTTGGGGGCCAGCAGGTGTCTAGCTTTACTCCTGGGCACAGGCACAGCTGTGGGAGTTTGGGGGTTTACCAGATAGATGGTGCTGCTGGGCACAGGCTGAGGCCACCAGGGTCCCAGTTGTGGGGGACACCAAGGTGCAAAGTTAAGACACTGGAGCCCTGAGGTGGCGCGTTAAGGCCCAGGGGCCATGAGGTGAGCCTGGGTGTAGAGGTGTGGTCCCAGAGGTGGCTCCATGTTCCTGGGTCTTCTCTGCCCTCAAGACCCTCACTCATTCTTGGGAGAGGGTTTCTGTATTTCCTTTTACAAATGAAACAAGGTGACACAGATAGGGGCAGGGAGAGAAGGTGTGGGGCCTATTTACAGGGGTGTGGAGTCTGGGGTGGGAAGCTGGAGGTGGGGCAGGGAGGGGGAGCCTTGGCAGAGCGTAACCTTCCTATGTCGTTGGCAGCCCGAGAGCCTGAGCCCCAGCAGGCCGTCCCAGCACCTTGGGCTCCTCCTCCCCGCAGGATGTGTTAAGTGGGGTGAGGCTCTCGGCTGGGGCCCTGCTCTCGGCCCAAGTCCCGGTCCTTGGCCTCGGAGGAGGAGGAGGAGGAGGAGGAGGAGGAAGAGCTGGAGCCGTGGCTGCGGCCAGACTGCCGATAGGCGGCGATCAGCTCCTGCAGCCGCTCAGCTGTCGGCCCCCACTTGGCAAAGCCGGGGTCGTTCTGCAGGAAGAGGACGGCTGTGTTGTGGACGGCCTTGTAGTGCATTTCCTCCCTGTGGGCAGAGGCAGCGGCTCAGGGTGGGGCTCAGGGTAGGGCTTGGCTGGCCCAGTGGGCCCAGCCCCCCACCCCTGCCCTCCCCGGGCACCCACTTCTTGCAGATGTGCTGGGACCCACTGCGGTACTCATGCTCAAAGGCGGGCAGGACCAGCTGGTGGCGTTTGAAGCGGCTCTGCTCCATGCGGGTGAGCGCCGGGGTTGGGGGTTCCCGCCACTCGGGGATGAACACGGTGAAGGACAGGGGTTCTGGAGAGCTCTCGAGCAGCTTCTGTGGGAGGCGGCACGGGACGGCTGTCAGAGGCTGCTCTCCGGTGGCTGGCAATCTTGCCTGCCACCCCCCAGCCCAGCAGCAGCATACCCACCTCAAAGTGAGAGACCATGGCATCCATGAGCTCCTCGCAGAAGGGAGGGTTGGCCTCAAAGGAACCACTCAGTGGGGAGAAGTCCAGGCAGGGCCTGGGGACAGAGGTGAGCATGCTAAGTTCAGGCCCTCAGCCAAAAACAGGTGCTGCCCCCACCCTTAGGCAGCCACATGGAAGAGATGGCCCCCATCGGGCCAAAGGCCAGCACTCATCCTTAACTCATCCTGGGACAGTGTGGTCATCTCCATTGAGTAGATGAGGGCAGAGGCCCAGGCTTGACAACCCAAGTCCACCAAGCTGAGTGGAAGGGGTAGAGTCCAAGTCCAGCTCTTACCCCACTGCCACAGCACAAGCCACACAGGAATTCCCTCACTGCTGAGCTGTCCCTGCCACTGGCCTGGCCCCACTTTCCTACTGGAGGCAGCAGCATCTCCTTCCAGCCGTGTTCCCCCGCCCCAGCCCCCGCTCCCGTGTGAGTTCATTAAGGTCTGTGAGGCCTGTATGGCCATTCTCTCTTTCCTCCCATACTCCAAATACGGGCTAATTCACTAAGAACCCCACAGGCTGGAGGGAGACAGGGGTCACAGGCTCCCAGAGTTTCAGGGATTGTGCAAGGTCAGGGGGCGGGGGGGTGGGGCAGGGATTGAAGGCAAGAACTGCACCGGAGACTGCCCAGCCTCAAAGCCCTACAGCACTAGGAAGCAGCAGCCAGGGCGGGATCTCTGCTCTGGATGACAGCATCCCAGGCCTACAAAGCAGACGCCCAGGTCCCTGGCTCTCACCCGCGGGAGCCAAAGTAGCCATCTGTGTCGGGGAAGGCAGAGCAGTACTGGCGGAAGTAGCAGTTGAGGGGCGAGGCGAAGCACTCAAACGTGACACCGAAGAGTCGGTGGAGGACCTCGAAGACGTGCACTGGCAGCGATCCCTGCAGGCCCGTCCCCTCATAGAGGCCCACGCCAAACATCATCTGCAGAGTGGCCACAGTCAGGGCCTGGGGCTCAGCCTCCCCCTCCAGAGCAGCCCTCCCCGCTGCCCTAGGCCTGCACCTGGTACCGGCGGAGCAGACACCAGACTCGGGGCAGGAACCGCTCGAAGGCAGGGTCGTCAATGCAGCTGTAGCGGTACAGGAGCCACTGCGGGACAGAGAGCAATGGGCTGCAGTGCAGGGCCCTCCCTCCGCACTGGCCTTTTGGCCGAGGACTTGGGGTTAGGACAGACCCAGCCTTCGGTTCTCCCGCCCATGAAGACCTACCCTGCCCGCCAGCTCTTACCAGCTTACTGAAGTAGTTGCGGCTGACCTTGACCATCTCTCCCTTATACCGGATGCAGACCACGTTATTCTCCATGTGCATCTCCACGCTGGGCATGGGGGGCGCAGACACAGCCAGCCGTACTGGGTAGCAGTACACCAGGCGGGGCTCCACCTCTGGGGCCTCCACCTCCTCTGTGGACAGGGACAGCAGTGAGGGGCCACCCTGCCCCTGCTTGGCCAGTACTCACCCTAGACAGCCTCAGTGCCCACTGTTCTCACCTCGTTCAAGGGAGTAACCAGGGGAGGTACAAGTCCACGGAGAAGTGTGTGCAACTCAGAGAGTGGTCAGGGATACTGGGGTCAAGAACTGGTGGCTTGTGTCAGTGGGCTCCGTACTGACCCACGCCCCCAGTGTGACCTTCCTTGGGGCCTGGCAGGCAAGCAGGCTCAGGTACCACACAGAAGTGGAACTGCACCACCTTTATAGTAGTTACAATACCTCACTCCGGCATCTTTTGGGGCCAAACACTAAGTTACCACTGAATCTTTACAGGATTCTATTGGCCAGGTATCGTACCTCAGTTTGAGGAAACGGGCTTACAAGAGAATGGATCTAAATGCAGGGCCAGCTAACTACTTACCCCACCCTCTGCTATTCACCCGTTTCCTAGAGGAGGGCTGAGACCCTCAGCCAAAGGACACAGCAGGCCGTGTCCCAGACACTGCTGGGAGGAATGGGCCTCCCCAAACCAGTCTGGCCATGAGGCTGTCCCACCTGTCCCTCCAGTCAGGGCCGAGGACGCAGGATTGATGGCTCCCTGCCGGCCAGCTCCCCTACCTGGGATGTTGTTCTCCTTGAGGATGGCAAGGTGCTTCTCGCGGATCCGTTTGACGTACTCCAGGGAGATGTGGTAGATCTTGCTGCAGATGCCCTCCACGGAGTCCTTGGCGGCGGCCGAGACGTGGGGGCCACACTGTTTTCGCAGATGCTCCAGGCGATCCTGGAGGAGACGGCTCTAGTGGGCTGGCGGGCCGGGAGGCCTGCAGGACTGCAGCAGCCTCGCTCTGGACCAGGCTCGCGCCTCGCTAGCTGTGTCACTTGCACAGACCCCTTTGTGTCTGCGAGTCTTATTCCTCAACTGTCAAAGGTACCTGAAATACTTACCTAACAAGGCGGCTGACATATTACATGTTAAGGGCTTAACAAGCCCCTAGCATAGAGTAAGTGTCCAGTGAAACGCCAGGGTTACACTGTGCCAGGCCCCATTATACTTGGCCGGAGAAACAGCCAGGCATTGTCCCTGCTTATAAAGCATTTCCGTCTACTGGGGAGAGATCGTTATAAAATGGGCTCCTTCCTTGGTTATTGCCAATTTGAAATTTGAGCTGCTGGCAATTTGCAAGGATAATGGTGGGCATTTGTACTTCTGTTGAATCACACATGTAAAGTGATGAGTGAAAATGAGTCACTCTGGCTAGTGAGCACACACCTACCTTTGCCACTCTCTACGTGTCAAGTACACAGTTACTATCGTGAAGTGCGAAACCTTGTCTCTTGTGAAAAATGGTCCTGAAAAGAAAGCCCATTGCTAGTGCTGGTGGGGAATTAAAGAACTGATGCCTTTGGGCCAGAAAAAAAAAGAGTTGTTTGGGACACATTAAAGTAGGGAATTGAATTGAATCTTGTGGTAGCTCTTAAATATGATAGGAACATACACACCCACAAAAAAAAGACAGTTTGTCAACCTGTTTCTAAAAACCACTCTAGATGTTGCCTTCATTCAGTTGGAAAGGCAGCTACTGCTGGCGTGTGGCCAAGCACAGGATCTCATCGAGAACCTCAACAGCAGTGCTCCCCAGGAGACAGCCGGCAGCCTAGACAAACATCTCCATTTACGTGAGTTGGGGGACCGACGAGTGTCAAAAAGTCTCCTGTTTCGCACAAGAACAGGCTGCTGTGGGGCCCTCCCCAGCCTGGACAGACAAGAGTCGGCTTCTGGGAGGAAGTGGCCACAGAGCCTTTCCACCGGCCGTACACAGGGCCACTCACCATGTAGTCCTCCTTGGAGGCTGAGTGGTCCTTCCGCAGCCAGCTGAAGGTGTCCTCCACGTTCCACTTGACCACCTTCCTGCTGTCGGGGGATGCACTCCTGCCAGAGGGCGCATAGCAGGGGCGCAGGTTCAGTGTCCGCTCCACCCCTTCTCCCATCCCACTCCAAGCATCAATCCCTAGGCTGACACTGCAGCCTTCTGCCTTTGGGAGCTGAGCCCCGTGCTGCCACCAAGACCAATGACAGAGCCCTGTGAGGGGGCCAATGGCCTACGGCCTCCCCGCCCCCATCACAGAGCCCTCCTGCTGGAGGCAGGAGTCACAGCCAAACCTGGACTCAATGAGCCGCCTGGCAGCCTCCGCGTATTTAAAAAGCAGGCGCTTGGCTTCTTCCCGAAACTTGATTCGGGACAACCTAGGTTAGAGAATGGACAGAGTTAGAGCCCTTCTGTACAGAAGTGGACACACACTAAATGGCCCTGGGTCAGCCTCAGCTGTGGGGTTGTACCTGATAGGAATGTCATTCATGATTTCACGAAACATGGAGGGTGACACAACCGGTTCACAGTTGCTTGGCAACAGGGGGTCAGAGCCTTTGTCCACGACCTTGCGTTCCAGCATCCAGCGGTTGAAAGATTCCCGAGGGGGCTCAATGCCTGCAAAACAGGAGAGCTGATGACGGTGTGGATTTAGTCGGCAGGCGCCACGCCACCCAGCGCAGGGGAGGCATCATGCGGGCATTGGAGGTGTGACAGGAAACCAGACACGGCCCCCGTTACGTCAGAAGCATCTATTCTAAGCAACATTTTCCAAAGTAGGTTCTGAGAATTACTAGTTTTATAAAGTATGTTAATAAGTGTTACATAGGGGAGGGGAAGGGGGTATTCTCTATATCAGCAAAGTTAAGCGGGTTTATTTACTAATTAATGCTGCCATTCCTTGAGCACTTTCCATTCCACTGACTCCTTGCAGTAACCCCGTGAGGTACAGGTGCTTTCGTGTTTACCCCCTTTTACAGATACATAAAAAGGCTTCAACTGCCTGGCGAATAGTAAGCACTCGAAAGTGTTAGTAATTGCTTTTGTTTTGTTGTTACTGACCCCAGCCACCCCTTGCGTGGCCACTCCTGTTGTCCCTATCTTACAGATGACACCCAAATGCAGAGAAGCGAACTGATGAGTCCAAGCTCACAGAGGGTCACAGTGCTCAGTGGAGGAGGGACTCCCAACAGGCCTGTCCCCTCTGCAGCATGTGCCCAACCACTGGGCCCAGTGGGCGGACCCTCGCTCCGGCTAACGGCAGAGAAAGAGAAGGGAGGCCGAGCACCCAGGCGACAGCTACCCTCTCGCTGCTGGCACAGCTCCCTGTAGTGCTGCCGCAGCTTCAGGATGAGCTGGGAGCGGAGCAGCTCCACCTCAGGATGCGGGGGCAGCACCTCTGAAGGCCCCCGGTGCTTGATGACAGCGTTGGTCTGGATGTCCAGATCCCAGTACACCCTAGGGGCACGGACAGGGGCGATGAGGAAAGTGGAGGGAAGGGGAGGAGGGGCACCCCGCCCGCCACCACACTCCCTCGGTCCGGACAGACTGGCCGCCGACAGTGGACACCCCTAAGCCAATCAGCAGGGACTCACTCAGTGGGTCGGAGGAGAGCTGCTTGCTGTTTATCTTCAGGGGACGCCCCCCAAATCTTCAGTGTTGGGGTTCCTGGGACGTTAGGGGAGCTGGGCACTGATGGACCCGTGGGCGTCACAGGGATTTCAATCTGGAGCAAGAATCAAAAGCATTGAGTTAGGAAAGGTGGCCAATAGCTCCAGTGCTGTGTGCACCTGGGAAGCTGTGCCCTGGGCTCCCGACCGGTCCCCCTAACCCCCAACTAACCTGCCAAAGCCCGGCCCTCACAGGGACCAGGGGACCTGCTGACTGCCTACCGGGGAGCCACACTCACCTTGGGCTTCTTCACACCATTGCCGCTTGGCTGCTCTTCGGAGAGCTGCCGCTTCCGAGGCTTGTTCTCAGCCGGGGGGGTTTCCACCAAGCTTGAGTCTTGGGGCAATGGGGTCGCATTCAGCCCCAAAGGGTCTGACTGGAGGAGGGAGACCGGCAGAGTTGCAACCAGGGCCAGCAGCTTAGGAGCCCCAGCAATGCGGAACCCCAAGGCCCCACCCCCTGCTCCGACTCCTTGAAGAAGAGCAGAGGAAACTAGGATGCCAGAAGAACACTGGGTTCCATCCTGATGCTACTGGGTTGGCCAAAAAGTTCATTACGGTTTTTTCTTCCCCGTAAGATGGCTCTAATAGTGCTTAGTTGTCTTGAACTTCATTCAAAACAATTTTGTTAGATTCTATTGTGACAGCTACCAAAGCAACATGCATTTAAAAACAAAAAATCAATTGAATTTTTGTGCAGCCATTTTAATATTGAAGATGGAAGAAAATATGCAACATTTTCAGCATATTATGCTTTATTATTTCAAGAAAGGTAAAAACGCAACTGAAACACAAAAAATGGTTCATGTAGTGTATGGAGAAGATGCTGTGACCAAACGTGTCAAAAGTGGTTTGCAAAGTTTCTTGGTACTATTGACATTTTGTCCAAATAATTCTGCTAAACTGGAAGATGTTTAGCAGCACCCCTGGCCTCTACCCATGGGAAACCAATAGCGGGAGATAGCCAACATATTCAGAATATCCAAATCAATAAAGTTAGTGGTGAAAATGAAAAATGTGTCTTTTATTTTATTGGGGGGGAGACCCTAAATGAACAGGCTTTTTGGCCAGCCCAGTACTTGCAACTGTGTGACCTTGGGGGTCATTCCCCTTCCTACCTCCCTCACCTTCAAAATGGCCAGACCTCGCCACTGTGATAATGACTAAACAAGTCCATGAATACGCCTAGCTTAACATGACATCTGGCAATGAGCTCAGCACTCCATACATGTTAGTTTCTTTTCCTTAAGAACCAGAACGAAAGGAATGAAGGAAACCCTCAAGGAATGCTTGTTTTTTCAAAAGCAAGGCCCTGCACATGGAACTCCCCCGGCGACACCTCGCGTATTAACGGCACGATGGGCAGTGGAGCCCTGCAATCACACCAGGGGCCCCTTCCGCCCTGCCTCTTCCTGACTGTGAGCGCTCGGGCCAGTCATTTCCCCTCTCTGAGCCTCAGTGTCTTCACCTGCAAAATGGGGATGCCAACGGCTTGACTGGGGCAAGAAAGGTCTTCCCCAAGTGACAGGGGTCCAGAAGCCCAGCTCCCACCAGATGGCCCACATCCCCCCAACCACCCCGACATCAGGGCTCCTCGAAGGCACCTGTCCTCCCCTGACCACTTCCCCTTAGCCCACCTTCTCCTGGAGAAGCTTGCAGAGAGCCCCCCACCCCCAGACCCGGTCAGGATCCCTGATGTGCCCTAACTCCCTCCTTCGCTCGAGTGCCACACTGTAATCCCAGCGGCCCCACCCCTCCAGTAGATCGCGTGCCCTGAGAGTGCAAGGGCAGGACCGTGTCTATCTTGTTCACACCGCATCCCAAGCAAAGTGCCCAACATGGAGTACAGGTTCCGTACCGTACACTATTTTAATCATCTGTGTACATGTCCATCTCCCTATGAGTCTAAGTTCCCGGCGGACAGGGATTGTATGTCTTGCCGTCACTGTACCCCCAGGACCAGGGACATCATAACTGTTCAGGGAACACTTGGGGAAGACCCAGGCACCCGAGGCTGGCACTTACAATCACGTCATGCTGGCCCAGCACGGGCATCTCCCACAGGGACTGGTTGGTGAATCTGTTGAAGTAGTAGGGGCGGTTCTCCCTCCTGCTCCAGCACTTCTCCCAGCCTGCATGCACCAGCTCCTCTGCAAACAAGCATGGAACCCAGCCCGGATCAGGGATGCCCCCGGGCACCCTTCTGACCCCGCCACCCTGCCACTGCCCCTTGCCAGTACCTGGGAGGTCCTGCACCAGGCGGATGGGCTTTGGAGAACAGGGCTGGCTCTGATTGGAGGTGCCCGGGGAGTGACTCAGCAAGGACGCTTCCTCCCGGGGGCTGCCGTGATTCTCTTTGGCCATCTCAGCACCCACACCGGACCTGCCACAGAGGACCAAAGGGTGTCAGGGCCCAAAGGGCACGGAGGTGAGCTCCACCCCCACCCACCAGTCACAACCTAGAGGGCCTGGGGGACACCTGCAGACACAGGGAAATCAACCCAGACCTGTCCTGGAGGGCCAGCATGGTGCCACAGGGGAACCCTGGAATCTAGTTGCAGCTCTCTGATCTGTAAAATGGGTACCCTCCTATCCCTCCTTCTGCATGAAATACTCTTTCTGCAATTCTCTGCCGGGCCTGCCACTAGGTTCACATCCTCCAGGATGCCTCCTTTGACTCTCCCCTCCCCAAGCAAGGTGGTGGGAGCCCCTCCTCGGGGCCATAAACATCTGCATTTTAGCACTCAGAAAGCCTGTGGTCTATCAGTTGGGTTTTTCTCTCCATTAGACTCTCAGAACTCCCAGGACTAGGAACTGGGTCCAGTGTAGTTCTCTGCAGAGTGTTCAGCAGGGCACCTGGGCCCAGCAGGAGCTCTATTTATTCTGTGCATATTTACAAAGCACCAATGACAAACATGATGGAACAGGGTCTATCCTTGAGAAGCTATTCCCATATGAAAGAACTCCTCTTTCCTGCTTCTATCCAGTCAAATCTCACTGGCACAAAGTACAGCCCGGGAAGGGACATGGCATCTAAATGGCTGCCTCATTTCACCGCATAGGGCAGGAAGCAACCTGTTGCTAAAAGAACCAGTGGAACTGAGAAGGAATATCTAATTCAGTCCTGCATAATCTCCAGGTGAAATTTTATTTAAATACCTGAAGGCGGTCAGCTATTTCAGATGTGTATTACCTACTACCCCTCAACCCCCCGCCAAAAACTCACACCCAGCACAAGTGTCAGTGGACAAAGTAATTCCCAACTTGGCTGTTAAAGACTCCTAGGTGGCCAACTGTGGCCAGACTGGTGGTCCTAAAGGTGTTTTCAGTATGTCACAATACCCAAAAGAAATCATTTAGGGCACGAAGGCACATTTAAACATCAGTTATCTTGGCTTGCTGAAATTTTATCAACTCATTGTGGTCACACTGATTATCTCATGCTGTTCAGAAGGTCTGATTGGCTGTTGACAACATCATAGAAATCATTGGGACATTGATTTTATTGTACACTCAGTCGTAAACATCTTCGTTAATTTTGAAAGGGAAAAATGAATGGGAAAGGGACTTACTTCATCGATACAGTTTGGAAGATAAAAATTCAGGGAGCAAGAGAACATACATACAACAAAAAGGGGCCATGATAACAAAAAGTTTTGGAACCACTGACCAAGGGGAGAAAAAGCCGTAGTTGCCTTGATTCTCTGAGGAACAGGGGTTCCTGGTGCCTTGGGGCTGAGCCCACAGGTCGCAAGGCTGAACGAGGTCCCCCTTTTTCTCACCCTCTGGGGTCTGCAACGCTAGCATGAGAGGGTTTTCTTCTCCGGCCAGATGGACCCAACACCACAGGGTCCCGCAGAGGCAGGAGAGAGGCCTGCAGAAAGGCTCAGCACAGGTGGGTGGGCTGGTCAGCAGTGGAGTGAACGGGGACCCAGGGAACTCCTTGCATCAGCAACTGCAGAGCAAACAGAAGAAGAGTCACAAATCTGTGAAACGCTGCAGAGCAGGGACAACAGCAAGAAGGGCAATGACACAGAGCAAATTGGAAGCCTGCAGGACACACTGTTGGAGAACTGGGCATTCTAGGGATGAAAATGATACTTCTCAACCTTTCCAATCAACAGGTTCACCCTCACAGATTTGCAGCCTGAAGTCACATAGAGCTCCATGCTGAGGAAGACCCTGAGCCTAATTTAATGTTCTGCTGTCACTGCCTTGAAATTTTTAGTAAGGGGCCCACATTTTCATTTTGCACACTGGATCCCTGCAAACTATGTAGCTTGTCCTGCCAGCCAAAGTATCCCTAAGATAAGGGAAAAGTGAACAACCATACATACCACCAATTGGGGGCAAGTCCCAAGCCACCCACAGCAAAAGAAACACACACTTCTTTGAATGAGGTCTTTAAAAAAATATAAAGGCGTGCATACACATGCAAATGCATTATATAACACAGCATGTTCATCTTTATTGAAAACTGTTTTCCCCAAGAAATACTGTGTGATATTGACGCACCAAGATGATTAACTATGCAGAGCAGGCACAGCAGCACAGCTTAATGAGGCCAAATGGGGACACTGCAGCATTTCCGGCACCAGCTATGCGTCAGAACCAGCGGGGGCTTGTAAAAAAAAAATCACATTCCTGCCCCTCACTCTACATCTTGGGAGTCAGAAATGGGGAGGGAAGGTACACAAGATTTTCTATTTTTCAAATGAACCTTAAGAGTGGGACTGAGAGACAGACAAGCACACTTTCGCTTTATATCATTTCGAATCTTTATCAATATTTTACAATTAAATTTTTTTTTAATTTTCCAGCTGAATACAGCAGGTCGTTGACCAAAGTACCAGCTGGGTTTGGACAGACTTAGGTACCAGGCGCTCCTGACACTTCCCGATTTGTAAACCACACTCAACCTCTGGTCTATATGCGCAGAGTCTAGCACATTGCACACTCAGTAATAGATAACTGCTATTATTAAAGTGACGTTTTTTATTCATCCTGTAGCTCGCTGCGCCCCCAGCACACCGAAGTTTGACAGTTTACGAACAAACAACTCGATCTGCGCAACCAAAGAAACCCACCAGAACGTAGAGTCTGATTCCTGGATTGGAGTACGATGGGGCGGGATCTCTCAGTAACACACCAATCAGAATCCTCCAACCCAGTAGGGCGGAGCCAAAGGACTGGCAAAGTGCGCAGGTGCCGGGGGCGCGCGAAGGAGGGGCGACCCCCAGAGCGCGCACACCTTCCCCTCTCCCCCACCCCAGCGGGGGCGGGCTGTTTGGCGCGCGCGCGCCGGCCCTTCTCCCGGACTCCGCCCCCCGCCCCGCCGCGCGCTCCCGCCCCCGGGCTGAGGCGACTCAGAGTCGGAGCCCGACACAAAGGCGGTGGCGGCGGCAGCAGCGGAGGGGCCCTGGAGGCCGCTCCGCCCGCGCTCTCCGGGCCCACCTCCTTCACCCAGGCCACCGGCCCGGCCGCCCACCCGCAGGCCTAAGATGGCGGCGGCGGCAGAAACGAAGCAAGCGGTGGCCCCGAGAGGAAAGCGTCGGAGAGGCCACTGCCAACCAGCTTCGGACTCCCGGATCCTGGCACGGCTCGCGGCGGGACCATGGCTTCCTGGGGCTCTTACCTGCCCGAAGCGGACTCGAGGGGATGCGGCTACACGTTCTGCTCGGCCGCCCGTTTTGCCGCCTCCGCCTCGCCCTCCCCAGCGCCGCTCCCGCCATCTTGTGTCCCGGGCCGGGACTCCGCACTACGCATGCGCTGGTACCGCCTCTGAGGGACCTCGCCGCTGCCGGCCGCCATCTTGAGTGTGGCGGACCGGCCGAGTCCTCCGACCCTGATAGCTTTCGACCCCCTCCCCTTCCTCCCGTCTTTTCCTGCTCTTCCAAGCGGGCCTGAGGAGGGGGAAACAGCTTTGTGGGCCATAGGGTGTGAACTGAGGGAGGAACGGACTCAAACACTCCCTGCCTCAGTTTCCCACGCCAACACACCCGCTGGGGCAGCAGGGCGCAGGTGGGCGGTGCGCAAGCAGGGTCGGACTGAGTGTGCGCACCAGGGGGCGCGGGGCGGGTTTGAAACCTGTGGCTGTTCGGCTCAGACGCCTACCCGGGGGCGGAGCCCGGATGACGTAGCTGTGGACGTAGCAGGCAACTGGGTCCTATCACCCTACCTATCTCTGCCGCTTGCAGCTGGTCGCTTGCCCTCTCTGGGACTCTATCCAGAATTTTTTACAGCCATTTCCTGTGTCCAGGCTGCATGCAAATAGAACCTTTTCCCATAATGTGACTGCACAGATTATAAGTGCTCTTGAGTAGAAGAAAGAACAGCTGTGGAAACAGTAAAGATAGCTTTGCTTGCTGAATCCAGCTGGCTAATTTTAAATATGAACATTATACACAAATAAAAAAGATGGCTTTGGGCAAAATTGGGAAGTTATAAACTAAACGCATCTGAGGGGCTTTCCAACACTGACATCTATGGCCACTGGTTGCGGTGCAAATCTTCACAGAGACCTCAAACCAACCACAAAAGAGTCCGGCAGACAAGCAGTTGCTGGTGCCATATGCCCAGCCAGCTCTCCTCAAGGTTCTTTGATAGAGGCCCGGGGACTCGCTAGCTCCACCTTCCTTTGGCCTCCCAAGTGAGCCGACTTGCCAGGGGTAGCTTGCGAGAAAGACAAAACCACCATCTGCTGTCCTGCTTGAGCTTCCCATGGGAGCCAGAGGCTGCAGATTACCCAGCTGGGCAGCCTCTCGTGTCCGTGGTACCTGTGCCCTTGGAGCTCGGTGGGGCTGGGAGTGTCAACACGGGAGGCAGCAATATGAATAGTAATTAAGAACTAGAGTTCCCTAGTTTAAAAAGTAAACGAATAACGTGTTGGCGAGGATGAGGAGAAAACGGAAGTCTTTTATGTTCCCTGTTGATGGGAGCATAAATTGGTTGTAGCCACTATGGAAAACAGTACAGAACTACCATATGATCCAGGGATTCCACTTCCAGGTACCTATCTGAAGGAAACACTAACTTGGAAAGATACATGCACCCCCATGTTTATGTTCATTGCAGCATTATTTACAATAGCCAAGATATGGGAACAACTTAAATGTCCATCAATGGATGAATAGATAAAGATGTGATATAGGTACTGCTGCTACACTGAACTGCTACTACACCATAAAAAAGGAAGTCCTGCCATTTGCAACAACATGGATGAATCTTGAGGGTATTATGTTAAATAACAGAGGAAGATAAATATGTGATTTCACTTATATGCAGAATTTTTTTTAAAGTTATAGACACATAGCGCTAACTGGTGTGGCTCAGTGAATTGAACGTCAGCCTGCGAACCAAAAGGTCACTGGTTCAATTCCCAGTCTGGGCACATGCCCGGGTTACAGGCCAGGTTGCCAGCTGGGGACGCATGAGACGCAACCACACATTGATGTTTCCCTCCCTCTCTCCTCCCTTTCTCTAAAAGTAAGATCTTTTTTTAAAAAAAAAAAATGGTGTAGACACATAGATAGGTGGTTATCCGAGGGGGAGGATGTTGGTATGGGCAAAACGGGCAACGGCAGACAGTTGATGGTGATGCGTGGTAATTAGACACAATGGTGATCAGTTTGTAATGTATGCAAAGATTGAATTATCCTGTTGTACATCTGAAACTCGTATGTTATATACCTAGTTACCTCAGTTTTAAGAATAACTAGGTTTCATCCTGCTAGGCTAGCTCAGTTGGTTAGAACATCATCCCTGTAAGCCAAGGTTTCAGGTTCCATCCCCTCTGTCAGCGCACATGCAAGAAACAACCAATAAATGAATGCGGAACAACGAAGTAATGCGTCTTCACTCCCCACCCTCTCCTTTCTTTTTCTAATCAATTTTAAAAAATAGATTTCTGCCCTGGTTGGTGTGGCTCAGTGCATTGAGTGTCGGCCTACAAACCAAAGCGTTGCTAGTTTGATTCCCAGTCCGGGCACATGCCTGGGTTGCAGGCCAGGTCCCCAGTAGGGGGTGCGTGAGAGGCAACGGCACATTGCTGTTTCTCCTCCCCTTCCCCTCTCCCTAAAAATAAATAAAATCTGTTAAAAAAATCGGTTTCTCAACAGACTGGGTTCAAACCTTCATCTTGCTTCCCACATACAGTCAAAATCAACCTCTCCATCCTTATTTCCACTACCTTAGAGCAGGCCCCATTATTTTTAAACTTTTTGTTAAGAATAACATGCATACAGAAATGTGCACGAAACAGAAATGTAAAACAATGTATTTGTCACAAAGTGAACACCTGAATAAACACTCAGCTTAAGGTATTGTCAAGCAGAATTCCCCTACGGGGTCATCATTCTCCCCTCTAGTGTTGTGATCATCACTTCCTTGCTTTTATACTCTTACCATCTAAGCATGCTTCCCTAAACACTACAGTTGTGTTGTGCCTGTTCCTTGAACCTGATATAAAAGGAATTATACAGTCCTATTTTGTATTTTCTTCTGCTCAACATCCCACTTGCAAAACCCATCCCTGTTGCACGTAGCTATAGTTCGTTTTCATTGCTGTATTCTGTCCTCCAATGCATATCTACTCTACTGTCAGGGACTATTTGAAGATCTCTACCCCACACCTCTTTTCTGAGTTACAGCAGTCCCCAAACTGGCCTTCTGGTCCTCCAGCCTTGCTTCTCTCGTAGCCTATAGTCCATCCTGCAGTCACAGGGCTCTCTAAGTCACAGGGTTCTCGTATGTGGCCCCAGAATGGCCAGAGAGCCACTCCCTGTGGGCAGCCTCTCGTGTCCATGGTACCTGTGCCCGTGGAGCTTGGTGGGGCTGGGAGTGTCAACACTGGAGGCAGTAATATGAATAGTAATTAAGAACTTTTAATTAAGAACTAGAGTTCCCTCTAGTTCTTACATTGCAAATCTGATCAAGTCACCCTGGCTTTAAAAACCTTGAATGTCTCACATTGTCTACAGGATAAAGTCCCAAACCCTTAACTTGGTCCCCAGTGAGAGGTACCATGGCAGAGTGTTTGCGATGGGCCGTGTCAAACATTTGACATACATTCATGTTATTTACAACCTGGACCTTCAAACCATGTCTCTATCCAGTCCCAGGCATCTTGACCTACCTAAGTGTACCAGGTACTCTTGACCCTGGGCCTTTGCACGTACTATCTATCCTCGCTCTTCCCTATTTGCCTTATTCAGCCTTCATGTCTTAGCTTAGACGTCACCTCTACCAGGCAGCCTTCTCTGAACTCACCTCCCCCCAGGCTAGGTCAGTTCCCCTCGTCTGTGTTTCCGTGTAGGCCTGTGCTCAGTGTCCGTCCCTTCTCTTCACCCACTAGGCTGTGACTGCTGACACGCTATGCCCAGTGCTGCACCTGACACTCTAAATGTTGTATTTGTTGACTGTGGGCGAGCACTCCGGATTGAAGTTGGGGTGACCTCTTCAGGTATCCCCGTTTCTATTCCAGGCTCTGGTTTCTGCGATGGAAACACCAAGTCTGGGCCCCTTGGGATGCCAAGAAAAGCACAGGCTGCCCATTGTGGCCAAGTCCCTGCCAACAGCCCAGTGTCCTCTACTCCCAAGACGGGGATGAGCAGGTCGATCAAAGATCCTGAGGCTTTGAAGCACGGAGTCGACTTTTCTGGACTAGGGAGCCTCTCTGGACAGCGGGGCTGGGTTGGGAGAGAGGGTTAGGATAAGCGGAGCTTCTCCAGCAACAGCCAGTCCTGGCTCGGAGCCTGCTCTGAGGGCCTCTGAGGACCCAGCCGCAACGCAGGACACAGCAGAAGCATAAACACACAGGTTGAGGCTGCCATATACCTTAACCTCCTTATTCTTTCCCACCACAGCTAGAAGCAGCTGCGAGGGAAGCACACGTTTCAACCCCTGAGGTCCTGGCAGTTTGGGAAGGGAGGCCCCAGCACAACCGTGTTCCAGGCCGCCCCCGCCCAGGCCAGGCCTAAACTACCAGCCATAGGCCCTGTTCTGCAGATCAAGGCAGCTTCCAAGGCGAGCGGGCCTGGCCCCACGCAGGCTGTGGAAGGGAGGCTTCCCCCCATCTGTGGTTTCCACAGGGAGTGGCTCTCTGGCCATTCTGGGGCCACATAAGAGAAGCCATTGAGACCAGGAATAGATGAGGGGAACGGATCGTCTGGTCTTCCCGTCCCTGCTGTCAGTGTCTGATGTGGTGTCACACTCCCTGTCATTTCCTCACTAGGCCTGGCCCTCGAACAAGAGCACCAACGCTAAATAAGGCAAGCTCTTTGCCCGCAGGGAGCCCACAGAAGCCTGGGAGAGGCAGACACAGAAATAAACCCTCAGCTGCAGGGAGATAAGGGCTCTTTGGGGATGTCCAGGGGGTGGGCATGCAAAGGAGAAGACTTCAGAAGAGAGGACTGCCAGCTGAATCTGGCTGGAAGAATAGGATCCTCCAGGTGGGCAAGGAAGGGGGAGGGTGCAGCCTGCACCAGAGCCTGGAGGTGGAGAAATGTAGGGTATGATGAGTCAGCCTGAGCACCGCCAGGTGCCGCAGCGGGTGCAGGTCGAACCAGGGCCTTGGGACGCAAATTCAGTTTCTGTTCTGGGTTAGCGCTCGGCCTCCCTAGCAGGTGTTTGGGACGGCCCAGGACAGGGGTGGGGGCGCCTCTGGTGGTCCCCGCCATCATCCCACCCATTCCTTCTGATGCCCATTTTTCTATTTTGGGCAGAGTGGCCCAGAGCCAGGGTATTTACACCCATAGAAGCTGAAGCAGCAGAATTAAAGCCCAGACTTCTTCAAAAAAGAAGCCAGGGTGACAGCTGGAAGCTTCCTGAAATTCAAAGATCAGAGGAAATTTTGACCCAGAGCTGGGGCGGGATGGGTTTGGGTGGGAGGGTGCCAACTGAGCTTGGGTCCCAGCTACGGGGTTCCAGGGACACTTGGCTTCTCACCCAGAGGTCTCAACCCTGGCTAGGAAAAACCCTCTTAACAGCTTTATTGGGGTATACTTTCCATACCATTAGATTCACCAGTTTCAAATAGACAATGCAGTGATTTTGAGTAAATTTACACCGTTGTACAACTCAATTTTGGAACACCTCCATCACCCCAAAAGATGCCTCCTGACTATTTGCAGTCAACCCCTCGTGCATCCCCCTGTCCTGGCTTAACCACTACTCTGCTTTCTGTGTTTATTGAGTTGCCTTTTTTGGATCTTCCCTATGAATGAGATCATACAAAAATGTAACCTTTTTG